TTCACCTTCAGTGGAGAGACGGTGATTAGCGTCCCGTGTTTTATTATTTTGGTAAAAATCAATTCCATTCACATCAGGAGGAATATTGCACTGGACAAGATTCTGATTAGAAATCCATGAGGGTGAGACAACATCATGTACACTTTATCTGAAAAGATAATGGCTTTTTAACTGGACTTCTATACTGTACAGAGCTTCATCAACTACAGGCTTAGTTTCCAAGTATATTAAGCGCTCAAGTACTTTTTTTTAATTAGCTTGGAAAATTCACTTAAAACAAACTGGGACTTGAGATTATTAAGTTTCTTGGGGCTGACAATCGATTAAAACTTATCACCTGTATAATCGCAGCGTAGCTGTCGATTAATCACAATCAATCACAATTAATCAGGATTGTAACTAAATTCTAAATGTAATTAATCATAATCAATCTATAAATGTCAACATTCCCAAATTCCTGACTAATCCAAATTATGGAATTATTATCATGAAAAATATATATTTTCTAATTTACAGGTGGACACTTTTAAAACAGCTCTGGACCTTGGTGAAAGTTTGAGTGGTTCCTACAGGTTGTATAACCTGCACATTCAGGCCATTTTATCGGATTCTGACAAAGTAGTTCAGGCATTCATCCTAAATAATGTAGTAGTTGAAGTACTTCATCCTAAATAATATGTAAAGGCTACATGAGGCAAGAGCCTGAGACAGTTTAAGCGACAGTATGGCTCATGTTCTAACCTCATAATACAACGGTGTCCGTAAATGCAGTGAATCCCTAAACGTGTCATACTAAATGGTCTTCTGCAATATTATCAATTATCCCAAGTGCTTTGATAAATAAATGACTCATACATAAAATATGAGCTGTATTAAATACTGGCAAGTTAAAAAAAAAGAAGCTTATAATGTGAGGAGCAGAGCAGAGAAATAAGCTGAGGCAGGAAAGATTCCACAGGACAGCACAAGGAGGTTATGTTCCTTCGGGTTAATTGCGCGGACCCCATCAGCACTAAATACGGATAGTAGGAAGCACTGGCTAAGTGGCAAGTGGTGTACAAATCATTCAGATTACTCCCCCACTTATTAAAACTCTTGGATTTGGCTGGCGTCCACACTTCCTCTTTCATTTCACCTGGCAGTCTCGTGGCTGTCTGACGGCCGTCTGATGTCTTTGTGATGGCTGTCTCACAAAGTCACTCACCTCAGTTTAACAAATACACGTTGTAACAAGTTTTAAACTACAGTAAAGGAATGTTGGTATTCTGAGTTTTTTTAAAACTAAATACTTCCTTCCTGCTCCACTGGGAATTCCCAGGGCTGGGGGTGTTCTTTAATGGTTTTAGTCCAGCAATATATGAATCTATATCAGTTTTACTTACATTAATGGCTGATACAGTGATGTGATGCTGTTGTTACAGATGATACAGATAGTTGGACTGGGTTCCTTTTAACACCCTGTATTTATTATTAATGTTGTTTATACATTGTACTTCTCTGATAGTGATTAATTTGTCAGTCATACTTACACATCAGCATGATGAGATGCTAACCTGCTCCGATGTTTCCTCTCTCGGTTTTTTTAAATGTAGTGGAGCCATCTGCATCGCAGTCTGCAGGCCAAGGGTGTCCACACAATTTGACTTTGGAGCTATTATCCTAATGACCAGGTTAGAATGATCCACCTACAACGAAAACATCAAATACATATTTACTTATACAAACTGAACATACTTCATATGTTAGGGTACGGATTAAATGCACATAGCTGTATGGCACAATATGATTTCATTCTTACACTATATCGTCCCTATATATATATATATATATATATAGAGAGAGAGAGAGAGAGAGAGAGAGAGGGAGAGAGAGAGAGAGAGAGAGAGTGAGAGAGAGAGAGAGAGAGAGGGAGAGAGAGAGAGAGAGAGAGAGGGAGAGAGAGAGAGAGAGAGAGAGGGAGAGAGAGAGAGAGAGAGAGAGACCACCACTGGTTTACATGGTACTGAAGGTGTCCAGTTACAGACTGTTCTTGTTATAGATTTTTCTTTATGCGCACTAATACTGTATCCCATAATCATGGAGAAGTCTTTTACACTCATTTACAAATTTGTAGAATGCATTTGCCCTGTGTCACAAATCTGGTCTTGTTCTTTCTGCAGGTCAGATCCTGGTGATGTGTTTGTAGAAGTGCTGAAAACATGGATGATGTTACAGTGCTGTCATCATTAACACATGCAATCAGTTTGTTTAGCACAGAAAAAAAACATCAATTTGTGTTTTAACACTAATTAAAAATTGCAATTTTGTAAAAGGAAATTGCAGTGAGTTGCTAAGGAATGTAAATGATGTTTGATTGATTGTCTGAAGAGGTGGCGTTTGACTCGCAGCTGTAGTGTAAATGGCTGTGGAGAGGCAACTCTGAGCTGTCTAAACACTGCACACCTGTGATGATGGCTCCTCGCTGGCATCTCTGGGAGAGTTTTTGCTGCAGTAGGATGAGTTGTCAGACAGTACACAGCTGTTCACTTAATTACCTCCCAGTTTTGGAAGGAGGTTAATGAAGCAGTTTCACGATCAGGATTGAGAGTCAGCCTGAATAAGCACAAAAGAAATTAGTTTCTGGGTGCGGAGACAGAGTGTAAAGAAACAGAAGTTTCATTTATTGATTGCAAAAACTGAATCACGCAAAACATGAGAAAGGTTAGTGTGCTCTACACACTCGTGCATGTTTAGCATATTCAGTGCAGAGTAATTAGGCCTCATACTCACACTGGCTCGTTAATTAACCTTTGTTTCTCCAAGTGCGTTCCTCTGAGAAATAATTTATTATTTTTCCAGAATCTTAAATATGTGAAAAGGAAAAACAAACATTTTTATGCGTTATATTTTACTCCTTAATTTCTACATTTATTTTTCAAAAACAAATTTTGATGCTTTTAAATCAAAATTTCTTTGGTCTCACCTCATGTCTGTTTCCTCCTAGAGCGACTTCTTGCCTTCATATGTCCACTGTCTCACCTTCTCTACCTCCCCTCGTGTCTCCTGCTCCATCACTCCTAATGTGCTTCACCTGTTTCCTCCAGCTTTGTCTCTCTACATACCTGTCCTCCCCTCCTTCTGTGCCAGTCTGTCAGTCCATTTCTTACAATAGGATTGTGTGCATCTTAGTTTTTTTCTACATCACGTGTAACCCCTCTGTGTCCATTGCTGTTGTAATATATTTGAGCTGATCTTATCTTATCTGTCTTTTGTGTTTTACTATGAGAATTCTTAATTGTTTTAACCAGCTCCAATGTGTAAATTGTGCACAATTGTGACATTGTAAAATATTTGGTAATTTGACATAACTTAACTAGTGCATATGCAACTCCAAAATTAGCTAGGTATTGCAATGTGTGCTGTCATTGCATTGTCGATAATAAGGTCACATATTTTTCCTTAATTAATTAAAGCATTTTTTGTAGACAAAATACACCCTAAACAGTTTCTAAATCTAAATTAAAATGTTTTAAATTATTTACTTCCATAGACTTTCCTCCTGTTTTACAGCCACATGCCTCTACATCTCAGAGCCCTCCCCTGAGCACACAGGTAGGCCAACTGTAAGCACCAGACTAATGAGCATTTCAGCCACATCTTGCATATTCATTCTTTTGTTGGGTGAATAACCCTGGCAGACAGTGTATCTGCTTAATATCCTTAATCACCTGCATCTCATTTCAGGGGCTTGGACACACCTCCACTCATTAAAATGATGGATGAAGGCACGAGGGGCTGCTCGCCCCTGTCCCAAATTTGTTCCTGTTTAGAAAGGTGCTTATTAGAAAACACCTGGAAGAAGATGGGGGAATGGGGGTTGGAGGGTGGGGGGGAGAGGGGGGTGATGAGAGATCCCAGAGCTGAGGGAGCTAAAGAAGGGGGGGAGGAAAAAGGGGGATTTGAACCACAGATGGCTTTGCTTTGCTATTACCCAAACATTACTTAATGTTATCAATATGCTTCTAATTGGACTTTGCACAAATCAAACGTCACAGCAAATTAGGATGAATTAGAAATATGAAAAAAAATCCAACATCCATGTGATTTATTCAGCATCTTAATGTAAAACCACAACCATGGCAGAAATGAATTAGACTATACTTAATATCATAGTCAATCATTTTAAAATATTTGATAATTAATATTGTACCTTTTGATGTCAGTAGATCTGTTGTTCAGATAAACAACTCAGTATCGGAAACATCGGAGACTTTTGAGAAACCATTAAATATTTACCTTTGCACACAAAAATTTGAATTGATCCACAAAACTAAATTACAAAACACAAAAGCAAAAACAGTGATTCAGCAGCCGTGTTGACTTCAACGTAGCTCAAATAATTGCTGTGACATGATGAGGCTCTGAACTTGTGAAGTCAAATCTTATGCAAGATCTGTTATTCGTATTACACTAAAAAAGTGTTTTTACGTAAAAACGCTGTTAAACATCATTTAGCTGTAAACAATCCACTTAACTGACTTTTTCTTCAAATTTAAACTTAAAACTTGTTTATAATGTAGTCTATTTTGTAGTATGAATTACCAGTTTTACAGTGAAATCAACATCTATACTGTAAATGACTTTCCCCCTAAAAACATCACCACATTTTAAAGATACATCATTTTTGTTTCCATGACTCTGATCTAAAAAAAAAGGGACAAACCCGAAAGGAAAAGAAGAAGAAGACTGTGATCTAAAATCAATTCCAATTCCAAAAACAGTAAAACTCTAAGGCAATTTTCATCACCTCAAAATTATTGCTCAGTGAAAATCAAAGACTATTTATACTGCAGAGCAAACTGAAATACAGCACTGTTACAAATGTTTCTCATCTAATAAAAATGATTGATATAACCAAGTGTACAGAGAATTATTTAAATACTGAAAAGCAAAGTCAGATACAGTACGAGTTACTGAACTGAGATTTTAAAAAAACAACAACAAAAAGAACTTGTCTTTTCAAAGATTTATTAACATCAAAGTAATATTCTGTCTTCATCAAATACACAACTGTAATATGTACTTTAGATTACTTCAAACATTTGGGTATAACATAAAATTCACAATTTAAAGACATAACATCCTTTTAATTTAAATCTCAAAAATGAACTGAAAAACTGCCTAAAAGTAGGCTAATACCTTTTAAAAAAAACATTCCTTTGAATCATACAGCTTGAACATTTCTTAGACAAATCTAAACTGCACTTCCTTCTAACATGTTAGACATACAACAAAACAGTAGACAACACTTTCAGTCGTACTAGTGAATATAAAAACTGTCTTTCCTCCCAAAAAGGAGAGAAGAAAAAAAAACCTCAAGGAATTGAACAAAACACCTATGCACCTTACAACCATTAGAATAGACAGCATTTGACAGACAAGTGATTGTTGGAGCAGAAAAAATGAGGGCAGGAAAAATGAAAAACACAGCACTCCTACCTTAAGCACCATTTAAAGGGTTTTGCTTCTATATGCATCTGTGGGGGGAAACAAAAACAAAAATCGCATTAATGTCATAAAGCCTTTTACATCAGGTTACCAAATTTGATCAATGTACATAAATAAATAAATAACGCTCAATGCCAATCGTACACAAACTTTGTAATGTGCTGAAGTAATCCTTCAAAGTATGAGTAGCGGAACATCACCTGTATGTCTAACTTTGTTAAGTGCATGTTCACAGTTCATGCCACTCATGATCCGAAAGTTCCTGAAGACGAGATAGGCAGGTCTTCACCAATTTAGTGTCCTTCTCTGGGTTAATAGAGAAAAAACACCTTTAGAAAGAGAGGACAAACACCAAATGTTTTAAATATAATAGATTAATTCACGACAAACACCCCAATCCATTTCAAAGCAGTCACATGAGTTGAATAAAGTGAAAATATTGCAAAGCAAAAGGACATACAATGGCTCCCAAACATCATGCACATGGCAGAAATGGAGGGGATGTTGTTAAATTGTTTTTCATGTTATGTATAAAACAGAAAGCCAAGTTGAAGCAACACGCCAGCTTGCAGTCAGTGCAACTCATAAAAAATCCTCAACAATAACTAACTCTTAGCAAAAACTGTTAGATTAATATTACTGAACAGTTGTAATGCTAGCCACCTGCAATGCAAACACATGAAAATAAATATTCAATCGTCTGGCGTGTGTGACTATTTGATAGATTCTTATAAACAAAAGCTTAGCTAAAACTGTTTGAAATAAATCCATACTATACAGGTGTAATGCTAAGCACCTTAGACGCTAACGCTAATTTCAGACAACGGGACATTGTATTTAAAAAAACAAAAACAAAACTGTAGCACATAAACGTTTACATTTTTAACCGTGAGTCGTGCTGCTGGAAACCACCACGTCATATAAACAGGACACAGTAAAGATTAATTAGAAACTGAAGGCTTCGAGGCCGACAACCAAACAAGCACGAACTAATCCCGTCACTCGAGTTGAAATGGAAAAAAATTCCATTTCAGAGTTTTTTTTTTCCTGACAAATAATTGTCACAAATATAAAGAAAGGCAACTGCTACATAATCTTACCTGTACAACGTTGGCGTTCCTCCTTGCGTTAGTATAGATGCAGCCTCAAGGTTGTTCCCTTTCTAATGTTTTTTAGCTTCCAGCTAGCTAGTGCACGCGACGACACCGGATGTTACGAGTTTTGAACTTGATCAAACTCCTTCGTTTCCGGTTCAGTGGTGCAATCAAATGACGCTACAGACTCTGATCTCTGATTGGATGAGAGGTTGAGCTCTTGCAGTTCGACATTTTTGTTGTCAATTAAACATTGCCTCATTGTTTTTCTACTTTTTATGTTGTTATTTTACAGGCAATTATATTTAATTATAAATTATATATATATTATATATTATTAATTACAATTATAATATATATTATATATTATATAATTATATATAATATTATTATCATAATATTATGTAATATATTGAGAGCAAGATGTCATGGAAACCAGAGACAAAAAGCTGACCGATACCCTAAAATACAATGTAGAAATTTTAACAGATCTTGGAATGGCTTCATATTATTGTTTGTTCATTATTTTTGATACATTTGACTAAATTTAAGTAAATTTAGTAGATTTTGCAACATCTGTATGGCTATAAAAACACAACTTCATCCCAACTATATTTCTTGGCTGGTGTTTGTGTAGCCATTTTTTTCAGTTATGTCATTAAAAAGGTGCCGCGCAGGTAGCAGCTTAATCAGGGGCATCTTGGCAGTCAGTCTCACAGGGTTCCAGCATGTTGAGCTGTGCAGCACTCTTCATTAACTTGTGAAAACAGAACCTTGATTCCAGCTCCTCTGGACTTAGGAGGGAGTGAGGAGGAGGAAATGTCCTCTTTTTCTTCATCACTGGTGGTGGCTGAATGAAGCCAGAGACACGGTGGTTGACATTAAGACTCCCATAGGCCAGGTTATTGCCTCTGTGAGGACAAGCAGTCGGCAGGTTAGATTTAATAAAGTGGAACAAATGTATTCCAGTCTCTAATTGGGATTGTGGATATCTCCAGTCACTCTGTGGCATCGTCTGACCTTACAGATTGTTGTCAGCAACTCATCTTAAAAAAATGAAAATAAAAATAGGTGCTGGATGTATTCTCTGATGTGACCCCACTGAAGCCTCCTTAAGTCTAATTGACTGCTTGTCAAATAGAATGTAATCCCTTCACTATTAGTCTCAGCGTTTCTCTGTGGCTCCAACTCACTGAATGACAATGGATTCTGATGTTATGAGTTACAGAGAATATCAATAGAACTGGCATTGAATAATGGATTTTAATAACAAAAGAGAGAGGTCTGTCTGGAATCAGGGTCAAACACAGGGAGAGTTCCCTTTTTTTCCACAGACATGTTCCAAGTGCACTGTGTCCTTTGGGGTGAGGACGGACGACTCTGATGTGTCCACATTAAAATGCAAACCGGGCGATGACTTTGAGTTTTATTATGATGCTTTTCAATTATAGCTATAATAAATATGCCATCGGTAGTTAATTTACTGCTACTATAATATTTTTAATATCCTTTAAAGGTTACTGTTGTATACTTTTATGCAGAGTTAATAAAAAACTTAATCATTACTAAATGAAGCAGTTTTCACAGATTTCCATTTTTTTTTTGTAACCTGGACAATTATTATTTTTATTATTATTCTTTATTGTATATGGTTTCACCATGAAGGGCAGATCTAACCTGTTCCTCTTTGATGTCGGAAAGTAAACATCACTTAATCACACCACACTGGTCAATGCGTGCCTCCATTATGGTCCATATAACTGATATGAAGATAAATAGATCATCAATTATAGATGTTTACTGATGGTAATTGATATCTCTGTACAAACACAGATTTATGATTTTGAATGAAATGGATTTATGACTCAACCGCCGGGCTTGGACTGAAACAAGTGTCAGACACTCAGAAGTAATGTGTTTTTTCTCGGGGTGAAGTGTTGCTTCTGTAAGGAGACACCCTCAGTGTGACACTTCATGAACGTTCAAATAGTTCAAGTAAAACGATCAATGTGTTTCGAGCAAAAATGGTAAAATATTGTTTTTTTGAAGACAACTATAAAAAAAATGACCAAAGGACAAATATTGTTTAAACTTTTTATTGTCCTTTTTTTTAAGTTCTTTTCGCTTTACGAAACAAATGTTTGCAGATGTCCTATGAATAAACAACAGCACCGTTTCTTCTCAAGAACAGAAGTCCAACACCTCTGTCATTTCAAGAAAAGAGACCTTTCTTGTCAAAACAAACCTCTCCAGGTTCCCAAAGTGACTTCTTTCTTATTTCCTGTATTTGAAGTTCATTTAAGTGCATTAGAAGACGACATTACCGTTTGGATTAATGTGCAATAGCTGGGTTCATGGTCAATGCGAAAAAGATATTTACATTGCAGCTATGACTCACATTAATTGTCTGTTTTTCTTTTTTCACTTGAGCTAGCGTCAGAACTGGAGAGGGAGACAATCAAAAGGAAAGGAGTCTCCTTTCAAGCACAGCCTTCGTAAACAGCAACTTTACCTACATCATCATCATCATCATCATCATCATCATCATCATTATCATCATGACCATCATCAAGATTAACTAGACTCTTTTGTCGTACCTGTTTTCTCCAGTAAGACAAAAAGGTTAATAGATAGAATGGTTTAAAATAAAGTTTAGTGATTGTGCTTTTAAAACCAAAGTAAAACAAATAACAAACATTGAAGACGACACAAAACATAACAGTGCATTAAAAAAAGAAACAAACCAAAAAAAAAAAAAAAATCCCAAAGTGGCACTTTCTTGGGGCAGCTAAATAATATTGCAATTTACATCATGACTGAAATGATAAAATAATATTTATATTTACTGGCATAATAAAATAAGAATTTGCAAAAGTGAAGCAAAGGAAGACAAATTCAAGGTACCACAATGGGCAGAACAAGGACATCATGTATACACTTATATTTACAGTCCACCTCTGCTTGCAGCTTTTTTATTACAGTAACATCTGACTGTCTCTCCGTCATTCTTGTCAAGGCAAGCTAAGTCATGTCAATGTCTGGAGCGAGATCTTACTCCATATTGCATTGGAATTAAACATAAATATACTGCACTACTGCGTACTGTATTGTGACTGCACCATACTGAAATTTTTAAGACAAACTTTCCAACTTTTTCAAATGGATATAGAAAATGAATGGTTAAAAATTGTTCTTTTTTCCAGGTGTAAAGAAACACTACCGTTGTACGGTTTAAATGGCAGCCAACATGGAAGGTCAAATACTGAGATATTAAAAAACTGTAAGAGAAACAATGGTGATCCACTCTGGGAAAATCAGGACGGCTCCTCCTTGAATGCCTCTGGTTTTCAGCTTTCTGGCATCTGCAAAAAAAAAAGAAGAAAAGAAATGTTTAATATGCAGCTTACACCAGCCCAGTGGTCAGGGGGTGTGGACCCTAAGGTGGAGCCTTTGTGTGGGTGAGTGGCAAGACAAGGGAAATTAAAAATAAATACATTAATAAATTAAAATAATACACATATATGTATTATTTTATATATTATATGTTCATAAATAAATTATAACTTAGCCCAATCTTGTGATAAAGGATGTATGGACTCAGAGATGGTTGATACCTCCAGCTCCTCATCTCCTGCTTGTAAGGCCCCTGTTGTGACCAGGCTCATGTCTGTAGGGTTCCTGCGCCCCCCTTCTCCTCTCCGCCGCCCCCCTGAGCCCCTAGAAGACATGGAGCTAGAGGAGCTGGGGTCTCGAGGGCTGTTGACGGTGGGGAACTGTGGTCGGCTGTACGGTGGAATATCTTCTGAACCTGGGGACAGAGGAGAATTGTCACTAGGGTTTAGTGCACATACTCAACAGATAATTCACACGCTGTTTACAGAATGTTCTAGTACCTGGATGCTGTCGTGCCTTGCTCGCAGTGCTACCCTCATGTCTATTCCCTTTTTCACCGTGAGCACTCTTCTGTCTCTCTTGGGCTTCTTTCCGTTCAGATGACCCGGTCCGTGGGTCAGAACCATCCCGGGGCCTGTAACCTCCACTTCCTCCTCTCTTGTCTCGGCCTTCCCCCGCTTTGGGGGAGATCACCCCCCGGCCCTCCAGCGTTGCCTTGGATGGATGTGTAGGTGACTTGAGAACAGCTGGAGGCGGAATAGGTGGAGGAGGGAGATCTGGAAGGTACACAGGAAAAAAATGACGTGTCAAATGAGGGCTACGACAACTGCAAAAGGCACAGTAACAAGGATCTTTGTAATCTGCCTTTCATCTGTCTCACACCTGCAAGGTGTCACAAAAACACATCTGCACTGTGTGAACACACACTGGTATCAATACATCTGGAAGGACTGAATGTACATTGAAAAAAAAACAAAAACCATTCAGCATAATAGGCAGATGTGTAAGCAGGAACCTACTGTATGTACTGTAACCTGACATTAAGCAGGAACCTACTGTATGTACTGTAATCTGACATTCAAGTCTTTGCAACCCACACATGCTGCCCAACAGGAGGCGCCATTAAGTTTGTGTTTTCTCCTAGGCTCAAACACAGGACCTTCTGCGTGTAAGGCAGGCTTGATAACCGCTACACTATGGAACCACTAAAGGGTTGTGGAGGATGTGGGCAATACCAAATAATTCTGATCAAAGTAAGAAAATGATGACCAGCAGATGAATGAAAGATTATTTAAATTCACCTGTTAATCATTAACTATAGCTTTTATTTCCTTATCAACATCTAATCTTAAGACTGAGTTTGTTGCAGCCAAATTTGGTTATTACACAATTAGCACAGTGACATATTTGCCTTTGGTTTTACGGTTTAGAATTGTGTTTACTTTTTCATATGATAATCTCAGTGATGTCGTCAGTGCATCCCGCATGTGAAAAAATCTGGCAGCTTTTCCTAATTATCATCCACCTTCAGCCACTCCTGAATGGCAGTGTGTGGTGGTGGTGGGTGCAGTCAATATCCAACAGCAGACGGAGAGGCATCTGCAGTTTTTAATATCTCTCTTGCCTCCTGAGTCTTACCTCAGTCAGAGTGCGATCAATGCCACAGTCTGAAATATCGCTCACTATGAGGGAGGAGCGCAGCAGCCGTTTGATTTATGAGGAAATATCACACTTTTCCAGAGGCTGGCTCTGAGAAGTGTCCCTGAGCCTGGCTCTCGGGTTTATCGGAGGGCGTGGCGGTTGATTGTTCGTTTCGGGGGGTGGGGGGCAACGCTGGAATGGATCAAGAACTGGGAGAAAAGGTGAGGTTTGGACCGAATTCACAGACAAAGACATTCAAGTCAAATGCAGTATAAGTCACCAGGGCGACAGAACTCGGTTGTTTGTTCATCTATTGTGCCAAAGACTGAAAGGTGGGAGGTTTCTTTCATTACTATTTCATGTGTTTTCCTTCCCAACTATTACTGCCAACATAAGTGACATTTAATGAACTCTGTAGTGTTTAATCACTGAGAGGGAAGAGACATAAAACAAATCAAACCTATGTAAATAGTACAAATTACTATTCATCGTGTGAGCAGCAAACATTAGCACTGTCTTTGTTTTCTGGTCTCCTTTACAATTCATTAAACTGCTCTGCCTCACCTATAACCTTAAACCAGTGCTGCAGACCACGAATGGGCGTACAGGAGTGGGGGTGGAGAAAGAGACAGAGGGAGGCAATAACCTCCAAATGAAAAACAATCCATTCAGATCAAATGCAATCAGCGGGAGAAGTGATGGACAGACACAACTACAGAGCTGCAGAGCTGTCAGCCCGCCCCCTAGCTGCTCAAACAAAGACGGAACAGAGTGGAGCACGGAGAAGAGTAGAGCGGAGACGGATGGAGCTCAGACCAAGGGAGGGGCTAGGAACAGAGAAGTCAGGATGCAGGGCTGACGGCAGGAGCTGGAGAATTGGTTCTGGTGGGTGTGGCGGGGGCAGGGAGGCTGCTGGATTTTCCAGTGATATAGCTGGTTTGGCTCCTAGTGAGCTTGGATATTAAATCTCCCTGTCAAGTGCGTCCAACCCTCAAGGACACCTGACAGAAAGAGGAGAGCCAGCTCTGGGACTGCACATACTGTACACTGGAGTGGAGCTGTAAGGACACACCACACAGATTGATTTCTTCACATAACCCTTCCACCGCGGAGGGAGTGTTTCTGCCACGGCAGTGTGATGATACTGTTTGTTTCTCTTTCACTTAACAAACATGATATTTTCTCTTCTTCTGTTGCAGCTGCTCCTCTTTGTTTAGCTCCTACTTTTGTTTACGTTCATCTCCAGCTGAGTAAAAGGTGTCACTGTGCGACCAGCCACTGCACCTGGATCAATTTCATTAGTGACTAGAGTGAAGCAACGTCACAGCATCAGCACAGCCCAGCTGGACAAGAAGCTCCCTTGAGGCCCCCCCCCCCGTTCCCCTGCCTGCCCACCGCCTGCACATCCTCTCTGCTCACCACTTGTCTGCACTGTTCAGCAATGCCTTAGCTCTGGATTCAAACCACATGTGTTTTAGGGTTGTGTTTGTCTGAGTTTCAAAAACATGGAAAATAGTGATTAAACTATATATATTATAATTATAAACAATTTTTTTTACTAATAATATCTATGTTTTTCATCTCTTCAGGGACCACTATAAATGATGTAACTCTTTCTCTGTCCTTGTCATAGTGGTTTTACAGTAACGGTCCAAAAAGCTGTACAAACAAACATTAGTCAGTCAAAAAATAGATACTTTTATAAATAGTTTAATGAATATTCATCTTTCTGGTAAAAGAAATTATTGATGTTTGAGTCGACGTTTGATCTACATATTTCCGTACCTTCATTATAAGGGTCACGTCGCTGGTTGCCTGGATGGCCTGCATTGTGCTGTTTCTGCTTTTTAGGTGGCCTCCTATTGACAGCAGCCATACTCATGTTACTGTCTGTAGACACGGGGCTGCCAGGCCGGTGACCTGTTGGGTTGATTTGGTATTTCCGAGCTGAAAAAAATGGAAGAAAGAAAATATTTCAAAGACTCATAATTTTTCTGCTATTACTTATTTTAGGCCACCTTTAATAGAACCTACCTGATGGTCCTCCAACTTCTTGACTGTGTATATTTGGGTACTTGGCTACTCTCAGGCCAGAATACTCTGCAGCTGCGGCAACCGCTTGAGCGAAGTCAGTGTCAGTGAAGAAGGATCCGTCAGATGAGCTGACCGCACTGGACCTCCCTGAAGAGACGTTGTCCTCTTCAGAAGCTGAGCCCCATCCGTTGATCATGGAGCCGGTCACTGAGCTCTCCAGGTCGCCCATACTGGACGCAGGCGTCTGTTCGAGCCCTCGTAACAGCAGCCTGCGTGGATGCATTTGGCTATGGTGGGGGTGTATGTGGGGGTGGGTGTGGTGGTAGTGCATCTTGGCAACTTCCGCATCTGTGTCATCGCCCTCATCCTCCTCTTCCTCCATAATGTCTTCCTCCTCTTCCATGCCGTCAGTGTCCAAGGCCAGTGGGCTGGTAATGTACCCATATGTGTGTGAAGGAGAGAGGGGTCTTGGTGGGGGCGAGGGGCTCACAGCATGGCGCCTGCAAAATAGGACAAATTCATTTGATTCACATTATATTGGAACTAATTTGAATACACAGGGCAAAATGTTAATGTTAAAATAAAACAACATGGACGTTAGATGAACAAGGGAACATGTCATTTTGGTTCGTTGCTGTGGAAGAATTTTGAAAACAGGATGCTGCAGCTCCTGAATATTTAAAAGCAGCCTGACTGCTGTTTACCTGCGTTCATGGCTGTCTGGTGGGTCTTGGAGCATTGGCTGCATTTCTTCCTGGGGTGATGGGGTGAGAGTTGCTGTGGATTGGTGACTGTAAGATACAGCGGCGGGGGAAGATGCTGCCCCTCGGATGGGAGGAGTTGGCCCCCTTTCCAGCTCTTCTTCCTCCTCCAGCTCGTCAGGCTGCAGGTACATGTGTGATGGAGGCATGGGGCATTGTGTGTCTGGGTCACAGCTGCCAACGGGGAGAAAAAGCCTTGTTACCTCTCTATCACTCCACAAAAACATGACTGATTATAAATTGAAGCCAGAAAAACATGCAGTCATTATCCATGCCTTCCCTCTATCATAGTTTGACATAAACCTAGCTCTGGTATATGGAACAGCCTTAGGGTAAACTTGCTGTAATGAATGCAAGAAAAAAAAAAGAAAAAACAAAAAACAAGGCAGAGAGAATATTATTCAAGAAGTGTGCATGCTTGTCAAATTAACCATCTTTGTCCCACCTTTCTTGCATTGACAGCGCGTATTCCTCCACACTCCGGCTTGGGGGTGGGTTTGCAGGGGGAGGGGGCAGCAAGTCAGCCCAATTCATTGTGCTCTGTTTGGGTAGTTTTGGGGTACGCATTCCTTTCTTTTGGCCCTGGCTCCCTGTTCAAAAGCATAGAAAAAATACGCACTCCATCAGTCACAAAACACCTGGAGACATGCCTCCTTACATGGTCTCTGTCTGTGGAAAACACATTAATTATTAATGTCGGCGAAAGCTCAACCTAATGAGCAGGGATATGACAGCGGATAAAAATGCATTAACTGGAACTGTCTGACAAAGATTATTTTACACGTTCAAGTGCCAAACCTCATCCAATCCTCCCATTTACATAAGCGCCAAGTTATTAAATAATGGAAAATTGTACAAAATACAGCCATTTCAAATCAGCGGTGCTACCCATTACCAGAGAAAAAGGTAGGCAAGAAAATTGCTGCAAACGGATTTAATTATTACCCAAACTATTAGAACAGTGAACCAATGAGCTGTGAGGTGCAGTGAGCACTAAAGGCGTCTCCTTAATGGCTTGAACTTCAAATGCAATATCAGAATGGATACGTAGCATTACGGCGGCAGTGTTGCATGCCGTCTGCAATGTGTTATCATTTGTCCTTGTCCGCAGAAACACGCCGAGGCCCTGATGAAATTAAGTAGCTCAATAAGTGAAATTAAACAAAAGCCAATTAATGAAGGTAATGCAAACTAGGGAAAAAGAATCCTGAAATAAAGGGAGAATATTTGATTTAATTTGCTCTACGTTTTCCTTGGATGACATTGCAAACAGAAAACAAAGGCTTTGAGCTCATGTCTGGCAAGTCTTCGTGTTTTTGTTTAAAAGCATTGTTGACAGTCACCATTGATTTCCATTCACTCACTGTTCAAAATATGCTAATGAAGATATTCATCAAATCACTGCTTTAACACATTCATTACTAGTTTCTCAAAGATATTAATTGCTTCTGGGATTAGCCATGAGCTGCGAGGATGTATGTCAGCAGTTCCCAACCTTTTTTGGCTTGTGATGCCATCTTTACATAGGATATTTATTTGATTTCAATTTATATTCATGAAAGTGAAAGCATACAGTTGTTTAAAACTGTGTGTGTGAATTATAATTTTAAAAATAATAATAATAAGTTGAAAAAAATATATAGGTAATGTTTTAAAACAATTACTAGAAATTTTAGGTTGAATTCCAGACGACCCTGAGTGGGGTCCCAACCCAAAGGTTGAAAAACACTGACATATATGATAAAACGAAATAATGAGGAGACTTTTTACTAGCAAAATGTAAAAGATAAATGATATAATTGTATTGCCAAGAACACAACATGGCAGTCTATCTATAATTGTATGTATTTATCTATTTTTTTCTTTCTTTCTAAACTTTCTCACCAGAGGTGCTGCTGCTGCCTCGGTCAGAGCTGTTGTAGGAGCCTCCGGTGTGGCTGTCGTGGGCCTGGTTGTAAGGGATAGTGGGCATAGGACTCTCACCTCCTCTGCAGCGATCTGATTGGCAAGAGATGGTAGTTGATGGTTAGTCCAGGTCTGGCAAGAAGGTTTAGAACCAACTACTTTTTTTTTTTAACGAACAAGAAAAGCCTTGGTAGATTTGACACAAAAACATGTGAAATCAGTCACACAAATGAGAAGAGCCATGCAAATAGTGCTGTAGAATTTCCAAGTGAGTATGTTGTGAACACATGCAACAACTGCACAGAGCTAGGTCAAAACTACCACAGCACATGTGGTTCTGCTGAGCAGGTCCAACAAGGTGATGGTAGTTTTGTGGAAAGCGTGTAAGAGAGACATGGATTATGTTTGTCTGTTCTTCAGATATGTGACACCGAAGAAAGCCCTCGCACCTGCCTCCATCACAAGGAACCGAGATACTGTGAAGTGATCTCAACTCAAGTATCTGTAAATCATACATGATTGCAGGAACAGTAATGAAGGGTTAGGTGAATTCCTTATAGACAGATGAAAGAAGGAGTAATGATGCATATGCTGATTTGGAAGAGAGTGAGACAGAACTGAGGAAAATGAACATGAGACTCTGGCTCTACAGGCTCCCAGGGTGAGGTTGAAAAAGCTTGGAGAGGTGAAAACAGAAGGAAAAATCAAGCGCAGGTAGATCACGGCGGCGTGGAGCTGACCACTTTACTCATGGCTGCTTGGTATTCCACAACACTCACCCTTGTTCAGCTTGTTTTGCTCCATGATGATGTACTGCAACTGGGAGCCCATTTCCTGCTTCTGATGCTGAATGGGAGGAGGCTTCCAGCAGTGTTTCTCATTCACCTCCCCTCCACCCACAGGTCCACCTCCACTCCCTCCTGTGCCTCTGTCTGGGTTTATATTGTTGCCCATGATGGAGGACTGGATGAGTTGGGTGGTGGCGTAAGGGGTCGGTTGACCGCCTGGACCCATAAAGCGTCCATCTTTGAGGTTAGGGCTGTTGAATGTCTTCATTTCATTGATCTTGTTTGACAGGTCTACGTCTCCGTACAGCCCCGACTCTGGCATCATAAGATTGGTCTGCTTGTTTTCCATCTGGTTGTTATAGTTGGCGATGCAGTCAGCTGAAGGACACGAGGAGGTGGTTTAGTGAATCTTGCCTACCGCTGACCAGGTTTGCAACTGTATCTCAGTTCACTGACAGCTTCGATTCAACAGAGCCTCATCGGAACTTCTAAAGAATTCTAAAGTAGTGTTTATCTGAGAGACAGTGAAATATTCATTTGAAATGTCAGAGAGAGAGAAATCACATCTGTTTTTATTTCTTTTCAAGGCAATGCTTCAGCCTGCCAAACGATTATCTACTCTGGTTGAATGACACAGGTGGTATTACACCTGTCTCATGTAGTCTCTTCTGAGTCTCACCCATGACTAAATGCGGGATGTAATCTCTATTCTTCTCCATCTGACGTAGGAAGAATCTTTTCTCATTGAGAGGGACAGGGAGACATGTCTGTATCAAAGACCTGGAATGAGTCACGCAGTCAAAGCACAGCTCCACTGACAGATCCAATTTTCCCTGGCTCATAAAATATTCAAATCCTCCAGCAGATCTGAGAGCCAGCCTTGCGGTAAATACCAAGGACGACCATAGGTGCACGCTGCACATGCCACGCGCCTCATATTTCAGCTGCACAGAACAGCTTGACTTCAGTGGTTGATCTGTGAACGAGCCCCTATGGCTGAGATAAAAGGACATTAACTTCTATTTCTTTGCACTGTCACCTGGCCAGTGATCCTCTTAGTGTTCAGAGAGTTTAGGTTTGGCACACACACAAAGCATGCATCTGGCAAGCTTCTTAGTGTCATACAGCAAGATGTCATGCGAGGAGTGACGGTTGCCTTTAGTGGGTTTTTTCCTTGTTAACATCTCACAGTATGTCAAGGTAAACACTTCAGTCTCAAAGAGATGGAGAAATCCTGACATTTAAGATGGTATGGTCCACTGTATGAATTATTATTACTTATTAGGAAAGTTCGAGGAATGACGAGACTAAACAAAGACCATGGATCAGTGTTTCCATACCTTTTTGAAACACGACACATATTTCATGTAAAAAAAACCTCTTAGCACACAAGAATGTCCCAAAAAGTGTATGTGTTGAAATATAATAATCTCAGTATGAGACCCTGATATGTTTAGTTGAACACAACCCTGATATACTGGTAGGAATTGAAGAAAGAAGCACAGCTCTGAGTCGCTCATTTGTTTAGTTAATAATAGCCATATGCTGCTACCTAGTGGACAATAATGTAATTGATCTGCCTGTCACTTCTGAATGGAAGAAGACACATTTGAAGTAAATGACCAATATTATTAATAATACCATAGTATAAAAACACACAAGTTTTTCACCACACTGGTCTGGAGCCATGATTATAGATGTTTTACTGTGTATAGATGTTTAATGTGTTACTATTTAGGTCTAGTCCTGAAGTACATATGTGTGAAGCATGTTATTACAGTCCAGGATCATGAGGAGACTTTGTTTTTTTCAACATTTTCAACAACACACAATATATGCCTTGATCCACCTATAATATTTTTGGCTGTGATTTGAACTCATACATTTCATACTGTGTCTCTCTGTGGCTGGGTGTGTATGTGAAGAAAAGCAACCTTGCTGTAAACGCACCGCTTTCCCCTGAGGCTGACACTACAGACACCGCACTGCATTGCCAGTGATCCGATACATTAAAGCAACGTTACACAACTGCTTTACCTTGAAATAACAGTTTCAAAAGCATTTTTATGGTACACTAACTTGTAATAAGGAGAAGGTTGCCTTTGTTTTGACCATGCAAAGGCATGCCTGCTCTCTGACTTTGTAGAGCTAGAAAGTCTCATTGAGAAGGGCTATAGGCATGATGGAATGATAGTACACTCCTACCACTGCTCAAATCAGGCAAAGTGTCTCACCTACTCCCACTCATCTCTTAGCATGTTTTCACCTAAGCTCTGTCTCTTCGCTCCTTATTCTCCTCTCCATCTGCTCCACCAGGTGTACCTTACCCTCTAACGTTTTTTTTTTTCTCGGCTTCTAGCCACAGCCTACAGTCCAGGGATGACCTCGCCGCCCGCTGCACATTTCTTAAATAACTGAGCACTTAGGGGAAATTACATTACCGGCTATAACAACAGTATGGAAATCAGCAAAGCAATTCGATTAGCAACAGAGTAGAGCCATAAGCCCCTCTCAGTGTGCTCCTTTTATTTCCTGCCTAAAACAGCTCTACTTTAACCTCAGATAAATCAAACACAAGCCCACAGTATTTCTTAATCCTAATATTTCTTCAGTTTTTTTTCTTTTCTCAAGAAGACTTACAAAAAGGATACAAGGAAAAACTCTCCAGGGAGCTAGCCCAGATATCAGGTATTACTTTTTTTCCCCAACAGATCCCCCTGGTGCCCGAGTTTCTTATCTCTGCTTTTACTTTTCAAGGCCTGCTTCATCATTTTGTACGGCTATTGTTTATTTTAGGATGTTGGCAATAAAAGCCAGGGTCAAGATTTCATACCTGGTCGGCTGTACGTTGCCAGGTTGCTGTCGCTGTTGCCATTGCCAGCAGTGCAGCAGTTGATGCTGCAATCGTTGTGGTTGGAGCAGGAGTTGGGCCAGGTGTCAGCCAGCCAGGGCTGAGTGGCAGAATCCCCCATGTTTAACAAACCAGGTCTGGAAAGGTGGGAACAAACCATTAGCAACAGCCAGCCAACACCACAACAACATCAATGTTGGACAAATAAAAAATAACAAGAGTTAGTGCTACAATGAAATAATATAGACATTAAACCTTAGCCTTTTTGGATCACATGCATATGAGGTTCGTAGACTCTGGGACTGAATAAAAAAAATACTGTAAGGGATAGTTGAATTGATTGTGTGTGCTTGAATAGCCCAGAGTCGAGGACACGTTCCCAAGCCCTCATGAGCATTAGCGATCTTCGTGTGTTGGACACGAAGATAAAACTCATCCCATAGTTGGGAAATGCATGTCCTGCACAGTCAGTGAACCTCAAATGCTCCCAGAGTAGCTTCCACTGTGTCAAACAACATCTCTATCATTTAAAAAGTATTTTTAGTTTTATAGGAGCCAAGTGGAGCCAGTGCAGACCAGTTTTAAATGAGCTGCCCGGCTATCCTTCTCTATTGTTTTAATGTGTTTCTTCAGCTGCGACTCCAACTCAACTGCCGATCTGTTGTTTAACGAGATTCTAAAGTTCATTCTGACCTGCAGCCAGACATTGTGTTAAGAGAAAATGAAAAAAAAAAAAGAAAAAACCTCCCATTTCAAACTGAAACAGGTCTTTCATACAAATATAATGAAAACCACAGTACTAATCCAGTAGCACACACAGTATTCAAATTTCTACAAAATGACTCTCAGTTTGCATGTACAAACAGCAGAATTACATTTCCCCATTCCCACTCAAATGACTTATTTTCTGGATTCATTTTAGGTAACGAACACACTGGTCTTGTTCGGCCAAACACAATCCCACAATAGCTCCTCAATCACTCTGGCAGTTGTATGTTGATGTTGAATGCCATTGTCTCTGTCCGGAGCTGACAAAGCCATGCCGCATATTGGATTCAACGACCAAACTGGAAAAATATAATGAATTTGGATTTTCTGCTAATGGCTCCAGGCTAAGTGTTCATTATCATGTCAACACCATGCAGCTGTGTGTATATTCTGTGCTGTGAAAACAGCCTAACTATTAGTATTATGACTTGTGTTGGTGTGTTTTAGGGTTTCTCTAGCTGTGATGAAAACATGCCAGACCCCGTGAACTGTTGTTAGGAAAAGGAATTAGCAAGATGTGCAGTGTTTGTCAGGGCTCATTCTGCACAATGCACCATTCCACAACATGAGGAGATGCATTGTGGCTGCGGTCTGTGTGGCTGTGGATAGTGATGCAATGGCACAGCCTTGTGGCCAAATATTATTTCTCTGCTACTTCGGATGCAGTAGGATGGGCTCCCGTCAAACCACGCTACTGTTTATGGGGCTTTGTTCCTCTGCGCATCATATTAAAGTCCTCTTTACCCGTCCAATGCTGCCTGTCCTATTTAGAAAGGCACAGCACTCCCCCTAGTGTTTATGAAATAGAAATACACCTAGATCACTGTACTTACCTGTTAAAAACAATAATGTATACATATTTAATTTTCAAGTTATCTTTTAATACCTATATGTTTTCGATGGCAATGCTTAAAAATATTATCATGCATTAATAAAACCATGAATCTTACCTTCCAGCACTGCTCACACCTTCTCCACCTCTCTGATATGCCACTAAAATAAAATAAAAAAATCCACTATTAGCACAATATCATCAAAAATTATTTTTATTTTGGTCGTAAATTGTCATAATTTCTTAAAACTTATTTAAATAGTCCCAGTGAGTGTGTGGAATCAGGGCTAACTGAGTCACACAAACATCATCGGAACCAGGGTAAAATTTTGTAAGCAGCTTATGAAGAAGAGAGAGACAGAGCTCTTAGGTTGTCTGGCTCGGAGTGTCTGAAGCTTCGTTCACTGCTTGGTGGACACTTCCAAGAAGCTTTAAGCCAACAGTGTGTGAAGGGGAGATAAATAGCAAACTTTAATTAAAATTCCTTTCCTGAGGGAAGAAATGTAGAAGTCGAGTTTGTAGGTTCTTACCCCTCAATTCAGTGAACCTTTAAAGGAAATCTAAGTTTAATTTTGGCCACAGAATGTACTTGGAACATATCTTTAACAGCTACTTCAATGTAAAGCACCATCCGGATTTTACATTAAAAATAACCACCATTCTTATGTCACATCTAGGTTTTACACTATACACCAAGGCATGGGTGTTCTTCCTACACTGGCTGGGCATTTTTGGAGGAGATTATTATAAACAAATATTTAGCCACTGCAGAATTATGCTGCCTCAGTGTGTGCCTGGAGGCAGACAGACAAACAAAGCTGCTACCGCCAAGGAACAACCTGTGCACAGCTGGGACCAGTCAGTGTAACCACAAAAAAGTGTCTCTGTTACTTCCTCTGGCCAACACCCATGGCACACCCCCGGAGGGAACAAAGCATTCCAGATGGAAGTTCATAAATGGGTACAAAAGAGTGGACGGTAAATACAAACACACAGAGACTTGATTTCCTGCTGCGTGCTTTGCCACCTCACAGGTATTTCTTCTGTTAAAATATCAAATTCTTAACATTGACTAGTTATTCTTTGGTATGATTAATGATGTGCCTCTGCTTCACCACTGTGACTCTGACACAATACAACAACTGTGTTATAACTGTAATTATTATAAGCAGATCCATAGGATACTTTAAAAAAAGTATTTAATAGGTGTGTGATTGAAGTTAATTATTGTTTTCTTAAATTACAGTGAAAGAACATCATCGTCAATGTAGAACATATACAGAACACAGAACGCGTGGGGTGAAAATATTTACCTGTTGGTGTGAACGTGAAGGACGGCACTGTTGAAACAATAATAAAAAAAGAAACACATCATTATTAATTCTCCATTCACCAAAATAAATAGCTGTGACATTTTCAGAAAAACACACAAATCTGTGTTCATCATCTCGGCTTGTATCCTCAGGGTTCTTCCAAAAGTCTTTGATCCCATCAGACAAATGTTGACAATGAGTGTTAACCCGAGCTCCAGTCCTAGACTGAACCAAGAGCAGGCTAATGGTTTGGGATCACACACTAGATAGAGATCCTAAATATTCACAGCATCTTCCACATCCCTCTGCTGCTCACACCCCCCCTGGTGGAGATGGGCTTCATAAGCAACAAACATCAGCTTATTTCAGATTCTTTTTATTCTGTAAAGGCTGTGGTTGTCTTTTGATATCTACTCTAGAATTCACTTTGGTCTTGTTTTTTTTTTTTTTCTTTAAAGATGTGAAAATGGTATAGCATCTCATGCAGTTGATGCAATACTGTGCTTCGCCAACTGTCAGCCAGTGCAATTTTTGCAACAGCATGGGGGAAAAAATGCCAGAAATGCGACTATTTCACAACTTATTTAAAGCCATAGTGTGTACGAGGCTCAATATGAAAATAAGTTACTACTTTTACTCCACTTTTAACCCCAAAAACTGAATCTAAAATGTTAAAAATCACAAATAATGATGTCACTTGTATAGGTATTTACTTATTTTACTAGTTAATAATATAATTGTTTGCTGTTTACTTTAATTATAACCTTACCATCACTTTGTCTCCACTTGGACATAGGAGTAAAAAGGGCTTAAACAAATATTTTGTAAGTCATGTATAGTTACTCTGAAGGTGGAACAGACCGTCTGTCTGTCTGCCCTTTATAACCAAATTCACTTAGCTACTCCATGTGGCTGCAATTATACACTTACACTCTCACTAAAACATATTTTTGGCTACCACTTCCAACAGTGACCTTAGCGTCTGGGGTCTGGTAGCACAGAGGGGAAGAGAAGTCCGTCTGGCAACTGCACTGAAGAAAAACCTTTGGAGAGATTTAGTGATGAGCGAACTGAAGACACAGGGGAAGAGGGTCTTACTGTACTAACTATAGCTGATGTTCTTAATCATCATTGTTTACCGCTGAATTCAATACATGTTTTACGTGTCTTTAAAATGTTACGTGTGTAATATGTTTTTCTAAGAGTGCTGTCAACTTTTATTTTGAAATGACTATTTTCATTTAGATTCCCGTCACAGACAGCGAGAGAAAGGAGATTCTAAGTTAAGATGCAAATGCGCAGCAGTGAAGTTATGAGCCAATTAAGACTAAAATGACCAGAGTGAAGACCAGAGTTTTCACGCTAGACATAGAAGAAACTTCAAATAAACCTGCATCAAGAAAGCCACTTCCTGTTGTTCCTGCCTCAAGGAAATTATACTATTTGTATTCATCTTTCATTTGCTATTACTGTTAGCTGTACATGGAAAAACACAAGTGACCAGTGTTTTCTATGAGGCAGCATCCAATTACTAACAGCAGAGACTGTTGTGTGTGTGTTTCCAGGTTCAAGGTGAATCTGACCCTGGAAGTTCCTGAAGTGTGTTTAGTGCAGGTCGTACTAACAGGCAGCAGCTGCTTGGCCTCAGGCAACACATTAGGGCTCTTCTAAACATCAATGAGACTTGCAATGAAAGGCTAATAGCTCTCTTTGTACTTTAACTATGGTGGGCAGAGGGTGGGCATATACGATTTCCGTCGTTTCCACACAGGTTCAGGTAAGTCCAAAAAGGTTACCTCAAAGATGCTGCCACGGCAGCTGAAAAACATTACTTTGCAGCTAATGCGCTAAATCAATCCAATCAACTCAGCCCTGACAGGAAGTGACTTCAATGTTGCACTGTGCACTGTGTCGGACAAAAACCCTTTTGTAAAATTTAAGGAGGTAATTTTCCCCAAATGCCCCACTGACCTTTACGTATGCCTGCGTAGCTGCTGGACAGACCGTTCCTCTTCTTGCGGTGTCTGTACAACCAGATACTGAAGACCATGAGGATGATCCAACACGCAGCTCCTATCCCCGCGATAAAGGCCGGCTGTTTGACCACATCTGAGATCTGCTGGGTCAGGGGGTTCTCATCTGCACCAGTCTCAGTCATCCGCCCCGACGCATCTAGAGACATAAAATTAGGCAATGATGAACAAAAACAAAATCAAGTAATAATTTTAAGTCCAATATAAGGAATAAACAGACACACAGGAAATCAAAGCATAAAACCACCAAGACCTGAAGCTGAACTTAGCGTTTCTTATTCTGCTGCTGTATCAAAGCAGTCTTCATGTGAACAGGAGAGGCTGGTTTGTGAATATGGAGTTGCTTTTATTCTTCAAAAAGCTTTCACAAATCACAAATCTCTGTCAACAACAGCAGGTGAGCACACAAAAGAAACCAAAAACATTCAAACGGAGCCGACGCTTAACAGCAGAGTGGTTGAACCTCAGCGTTAAAACGGAGACGTGTGCACAGAGGAACTGTTTTACTGTCAAAAATTAAAGTTAAATAAAATCATGGTAGGATTCAAGAATGTGGTGAACAAAAGAATGGCCAGGTGTGTATGTTTTTTCTCCTGTGATGTGCATTCAAATTCCTTCTCCATCTTTTTTGTGGTGTGGCTGTTCACAAGCCGCACTCGCTCTGTTTTTCACATCTCTTTATTCTCTGCGTGCTTTTCCCTTTTGCTCGGTACATGAAAGACTTCTGTCGGATGCCCCACCCCCTGTCATTCTGAAAATTCTTCAGGTCTTTGTTGCTTTTCTTCATATTTTTTTTCTCCAAGTCTTTTAATGTTGTAGCCACTCTTGTCTGTCAACTCTCAAAGCCAGAGGCAAAAACACTTCTCCAAAGAAGCCAGCTCCCTGCTCTAACCACACCACCACCACCACATCTCTCTGTGTTTCTTTGTCTAATGCCGTCTGCATCTCCATTCAGATGCCTTCTCTATCTTTCTAATTTGTGGTTTGACGCACCCAGTGAATGGAGCATGCCAATGTGACTAAGCATCCTACCAGGGACTGTACAGGTATCTAGGGCTAAGGATGACGCACAGAAGCTAGAAGCGTGACAAATGCATTTAAGCAGAACGCTGTCCATTGTTCCACTGGAGTGTTGGAACATGGCGACAATCACCAGAGGAACTCTTGGAGTGAGCGGAATCGTATCAGTTACAGCCACTGCTTCGTCTTCATGCCCATCCAGGGCCGTTCAATCACACATTTAAATCCGCATGCACTTCCCTGCCTCTGTCTCTTCACTTATGCAGTTAGTCATGTTTTTTTCCATCCTGTTACTTAGTAGGTCAGCTCGGAGCTCTGTGGAATAATGAGCGACAAAATACCATAAAATATCTGTCTGTCTGGACCAAAAGAACAAAAAGCACTAGGAGTAATTGTAACATTTCCAATCAGCTTGAGCTTAAATGTGTTTCCCAGCATTAATAATGCATTGTGTGAGCCTAGCGTGGAGCATCCATGAGCCTTTGTTGTTTTGGGTAAGGCAGAGACAAAAAAACAAAACATTTCATCTATGCCTGGAGAATGGAGCAGGGTGGGGCTGGCAGCATAATACTTTTGGCACGGTGGAATGTAAAGTAGCTGTGTTGACATTACCGACCGCCAGCAACAAAGGCTAAAGCCATTTCAGGGGACATAAAAACACAATTGCCCTCTTTCATGACAAGTTGACGTTTGTTTGTGTTGGAATAATTAAACAAAATTACAGTTTTTTTTAAGCATCAATCACGAGGACCAGCAGGTAAGGGCTTGAGTGAACGTGTAACTCAAAAGGAAGGAATTCCATAATTGTGTGTTTACTCGACAACACCTAGTGTTGCATCTTTTAATATAATTAGAGAAGTGCCATAATTATTATTTATCTAAATAAGATCGGTTCTGAGTGCAGGGGGCACAGGAGAGTCATCTGGTTCTACTCACCCAGCTGAAAATATGTGACATCACTTTTGACCCCAGGACCGGCTCCAGTGCTGGCTGCTACCTCAACGCTGTAGCGAATTCCAGGAGTCAGACTGGGAATCAGCACGGAGAAGGTGGAACCGTCCACTGTGCGGTTGATGTGGTACCGACTCTCGTTACCCAAACACCAAATCTGCCACACACGAGAGAGAAACAAAGAGTAGGTTCAGTTCCTGTGAAGATCAACCTAAGTGTTACAGCCAATGGGGGGGGGGGGCACTGTTGAAATACAGTCCTGGCTTGAATTGGGCCACGGGCCACCAGTTGATGATCACATGCTTTTGATTAACAGAGAGTCTGAAAGGTCCAAGGTCACATGGACAAGGTTAGATTTACCTCAACTGGAGGTCTAGAGACCTGAAGCCAAAAACTGTCCACACATTTTACCCTCTATCTATTCCCACTGGTTAACATCCTCACAAGGGACCATGCTGTGTAATGAGTAGGAAAAAATCTCAGGCTGGTCTTAAAAACCATGAAATTACTTTATCACTCCATCAGCAGAAACATTTACCTGGAAAATTAACTGCGGTTTAACGTTTCTCCCTCGCCTTGCCTCATTTTTTCCTTCTACCAGTAGCACATATTCCCACTGCGACACAAAAAAAGCTCCTCTTTTCCGAGGCAGGAATTCCGCAGAATAACAAACAAAACAAAAGTGCTGCTTAGAGTGAGGTCATTACAGAATCAGCGTGGTTCTGTGGGCAACAGGCAAAATTTGTGTCGTTTCATAGACACAGTGGGGATGCATTTGGACAGTTCCAGAATAAAGGAGCAGTGGCATAACAACACACAAGCTTGTCTATTCAAACGTATGCTCACATTTGATCATATTTATTATTATCTTATTAAATTGTTCTTATTCTTTGCCCAATCAGTAACACACATCTGGCACCAATCGTCGGGACACTAATCCAAAGTAAAACCTCATTTTTACAATTTAAACAAGAATAAGTCATTGTCATTTAAGGCCTTCGTGTAACCTTCGTGGAAGGCAGAAACAATAGTTTTAACATGAAAACACCATGTTTCCCACCAGGTGGCACTGTTTCCTAAGATTTTCCACAACCTCGGCTGCTTTCGAATCGTCTCCCCTGTGTCTGAGTCTCTGCTGCTCACAGAAGAGAAGCACAGGGAGTGTACAAAGGTGTGTCTACACCAGGAATTCATTACCTTTCTGTGTCTGTGCATTGTCCCTTTGTCCCTGTCCTCACCAAACTGCTCCGTCTGTGACCCTGCTTTATTCTAAATATGTCTCTATAGTATCACTCCCATAGGCTAAGACCTTGATATTTGTTGAACTGTAATTGTTTGTTACCTTGTATTCCTGGACGACCCCATTCTGATCCTCCGGTGGAGGGGGTTGCCAGGAGACCACGATAGCAGTCCCATTGTCCCCACTTTCCGTCACTGTAACTTCACGAGGAGGGGCGCTGGGGGCTGGAGATGCAGACAAAGATAATATAAAAATAAAAAAAAAATACAGAGGTTCATATTTTTTTCATACATGCATGCTGTCTTCTGCTGCTTCTCTTTATTAAAAATGAGTCGTTGAAATGTGTCCATTATCTTTGTGAGACTGAAGCTGAGGTGAGAACAAAGGACTAATGACTCAAATTACACCCTTTTATCTAAAAATGGAGACTGAATAATTCATACTCTTTTGTGGATCGAAAAAAATAACCATTTACTCAAAATAGTCAGGGTTGTGATGGCAGAGTGAACACTGCCGCGTGAACGTCAACCTGAGTTTCAACAGTAATTAAGCCAAAATAATTATGGATGCAACATGACAGACAAATGTTCAAGGGCCATAAAACAAGGCGTTTAATAGCACAACAAATGTGTGTGGGACTGGGAAAACAATAATAAAATAAAAAATTTAACAAAGGAGGATCCGGCAGAAAAAGGTTAAACTCTCCCACACAAACACAAACACACACGCACACTTTGGTAAACACTTTCCTCTCACATTTCTCTTAAATGTTTGCTGCAGACTTAAATTTGTAGTTGGGTTACAACCAAACCTCACGAGACTGCCACAACCACACCCTATGAAGAATTAGGATAACACCCCTCCTGGAGTGTGCTGTGCGTGGCTTTCCATAGGGCTGCCTAAAGAGCCCAGCATTTGCCATAGCATGCCTGAATACACCACATTTGAAGCTAACACAATATTTCCTCCCTGCCTGCTGTGTACAGCTGCTCCAGACTCTCACACACGCAGCCCAAGCTGTTCCTATAAACTGTGCAAACATGATAACGTGCATGCAGATGTAAAAAAACCCCAAAAGCACAGGTACAGACAGTGGCACACATTCACATCCCCCACCTTCCTCCAGCGTCTTGCCAATTTTCACATCGCTGTCTGTTCCTTGGAATTCGTTGAAGAAGGGGTGGACTTTGAATTCATATGTGACGCCTTTTCTGAGCTGTGGCACAACAGCGCTGTCCTCCCCGGGGGTGCGCACCTCAAAGACAGCCCAGTCACTCCGCTGCAGCCCCTCTGGTGACGGCCTGTACATCACCTTGTAGCCTTGTATGTATTGTGATTGCTGCTCCACCTAGTGAATGACACAGAGACAAAGAAGTTTAGTGAGGCTGAGATGGTTGCGTGCTCCGTGCTTCATATTGGAAAATGACACAATTAACCGTTGAATCACTGAACATCTATGCACTCACAGAGACCGAGGCAAAGTCTTCACATCCATCCTCAGCTTATCAATTCACATCTATATCTCTTTTCAACTGTCTGTCTATGCGCCATTTGGAGCAGCAGTGATTTGTACAAACCACAGTATGAGGTCATTGGCCATCGGTTCCTCTAAGTCTGGAGCTAGTTAAACAGGGCCCAGGCTCCCACAGCAGCCTGTCTCATCCTGTCCTGTTCCCCAGACTCCTGATGGACTAATGAAGTCAAGGGAGGCGGGGAAAAGTGGATCTTGGTACAAGAGTCAAGATTACAATCAGTCGAGGTGCAGCTTAAGTACAGTAGCTGAGAGTAACTGTAGGTTTTGGATGTTGGTTAAAAGGTAAGAGCTTTGGAATTTCCTATGAGCAGACAATGATTCATAAAAATGGTTCCCTGAGATGTTTTAAGTGCTTTGCATGATTTGTATAGTCCCATCATTGTTACCCTGTGGTAAATACTGAAACAAAGGCACCGCTTAAAGTCAGACTTCACAAACCATGAATGTTTTTAAATATCACACTCTGGTGCAACTGATCCTCTGTCATTGTTTCAGATATCGGAGCAGGTAAGCCGTATATTTCCTAATAAAGGAGCACTCGGATTTTTGAAAGTGAGTTCCTCGTTTCATTGCTTTTCTCCTACCATCCTGCTGCTTGCCTAAATGAATAATATAATAGCATGAATGAATAAAGCACTGCAGGGTTTTTTAAAATTCGGTGCAGTCTAAATGAAGTATTCTGAAACATTCATTGAACTTAATGATGGGGTGCATTTCATACACACTGGAGCTTTACCTCCCTGGAATACTGCAATCATAATTTTTTTCTTCTCAGCAGAATAAAGACCCACAAGGTGGCAGTCATACAACTGCCATTAAAACCTCCAAAAGAAGAAGTCATGACATAAATGGTATAACAATATGCTAATATCCTTGTGGAAGGCAGGCAGCATTGGCTTGTAAAGATTTTACTGATTTCTTGGTCCCCCCTCCTGTAAAATGCTGCTGGCTCAGGTGGTTTTCATTAGTCGGAAAACTGTGCAACCACTTACCATAGCACAAAAAAGAAAAACCCCAAGAAACTTCACATTAGAAATACATTAACAAAGCCCAGACAACATTGAGGCTTAACTGCAGTTTTGGTCTCCCTCATTCAGGTCATGTGTTTTTTCTGGAACATTCCAGGGCAGCAGGGTATCTGGGCAGTGATGTTTTTTAAATCAGTCTTGACATGTCACTATCCTTTCAACGTCTCTTCAGCATCATTCATCAGCAACTCTGACGCTTCCGACTGACTAAGTGTGTGGGAGTGGCTTCGTTTCAAAAGGTAATTATTTTAACCAATGAGTAAATATTGTTCAGATTACAACCTACAAAGTACTGAAATGTGGACTGGCTTTATGTACAAAGGTATTCACGTGTTTTGTTGAGCAATCTACAAACCAGATCAGGCAGGTACACAGTTGTGCCTCATATGCAGCCTGCGCTATTAAAGAAACACCAACATGAGCTCCCAGGCCTACCTCTACTTCCTCCTCTCCCACCTATCCATTTTAACATCTGTAAGTCATTTCCACTTAAAGCTATGCTCACCGCCTCTTCCTTCTCGCTTATATTATTTTTACAGCCATCAAGTGTTTTCAATCTAAGAGGGCACAAACTAGCACACCACACACTGCTGCACTAAGTTGCGTGGTCTGTGGAGCAGATTGTGCCTGGTCAACACCACAGTGTGATCGGTGCACTGTGGGGAAAGGGTTTTTAATGCTCTGTCCAGCTGACCAACTCCAGGCTCATGCTACGAAGACTTGGACCTTGTTTCAGGTCTCTGCAGTGTCCTTACCCTGCGGGGTGACAGGACGTTAGCACGTTAGCTCGCTTGAACTGCCAGACAAATTGACCATAGGTATTACTGAACTAACCCTGGAGCTTCGGTGGCCAGTTACCATAGCCAATGAACCGCACGGCAATCTTTAACTGGCCACAGCTGTGTGAGAACCCCGGCAAGAACATGTGGCAATAATGCAGTGATGGGGAAAAATATACTCACCGTCCACTGCACCCTGACAGAGGAAGAAGACAGAATTGTGGGGTTGTGCAGGTGGATTACCACATCTCCCAACTCTCTTTGGATCTGACGATGGTCCACGCCCTGACTGGTAGGAGGAATGTCTGTGTGCAGAAGTACAAAAATGAAATACTGCTGTGTGAACCTGCAGAAAAAACAAAAAGCCATGAGTGCAAGAGTCCAACTTGGAAAAAAATGGAAGTTCTCACCTTGGGTTTTTACAGCATCAGAGATGGGACTTGGATCACTCAGCCCATAGGCATTGGCTGCCCGAACTAAAAAGAGGTAGACTGCGCTGGGCTTCAAGCCCTTTAGTACAAATGACTCAGTTTTCACATGTTCTGCCAGTGTCTGCCAGCTGCTCCCTGATGCGTGACTGATGACACACAGTAAAGACAGTTAGGATGTGAACATTTACAATAAAAAATATAAAAAATAATAGCTTTTAGTAAAAAAAAAAAAAAAACCTGAAGGCCTCAATAATGTAGGAGGTTGGTGTGGCTCCAGTATTAAGGTTAGGTTTCCAGGAAAGGGTGACGGAAGTTCGAGTAACATCAGTGACCTCAGGCTTAGATGGGGAACTAGGGATCAGGTTTGGGTCAGTAGGTCTGTTTGGCTGGACGGGAACTCCAAATTCTACATGTTAACAAGGAGCAAAACAAGAAGAAAATAGTTTATTGGAACATAGTAAGTTAAAAAATAAAAAACAATCTGGATTCATAGTCCATCAGATGAAACGTGCCTTGAACTTCTAAGTGGGCTTTCCAGGAAGCCTCTCCACTTGGAGTAGAGGCAATGCAGGTGTAAGTGCCAGTATCACCGAGCTAAAGGAGGAGAGAAGGAGAAATGATTTAATTGGCAACGGTTAAATCAATGAGAAAACATAAAAGTTTATTTTCCACTCTCTTTGGCTCTGCTCAGTTGACTGCAGCTCTCATCGAGTCCACAGCAGGTAGCAGCCACTGCCTAATGATCTCGATATCTGTTTCTAACCAGAAACCAACAGGAAAGGTCAGGTGACAGACCATTTCTAGTCAAATGGAAATGATTTTCACAGGATCACAGACTAATTGGAGCCCTTTCTGTCTTGCTACCATCCCCTGAGAACTGGACTTGGATGTCACTGTACCATTTAGCAGATGAGCTGACAATCTGCAGCGTAGCAACTGAATCCATTTGATGATTCTAGATTAGAATTAAAAGTGTGGGGAATTAAAAGTGTGGGGAATAGCATGTTGAAAAGGTACGGCAGATACATCTTTTAGTTTATTCATTTCTTTAAATCAACTAAAACTACAATGGTCCTGTGGTAGATTTTTTAATAGAAAACAATTTTAATAAATATTCCATATTTTGACAGAAGTATATATATCTATATATATAAATATATATAGATATATATACTACACTCCATTAGAGCAAGTCAAGTGCGACCATTTTATTAAACGACATTGAGTCCCACGTCAAAACTGAATTAATTAAAATGTTGTCAGGAGAAATGACAATTCCATTAATGTACATTTCCTGTGGAGTTTTTACTCTGCCACCTCAGGAGAGGCGTTTAAACGGATCTCCTCATACTGTCAGACCAATCACACTGCAAACTTCTCACCACAGGACACAGCAGCATTTATTGGAACACCACAAACTGACGTGAACTCTGACCCTTTGCAATCTACTGGAAGATGCGTTAGCACCCCCTGCCTGCCTCTCTCTGAGATTATGTTCAGCGTCGCACAAACTTGCCATCACACAAGATACATTTAATACAAAATCCACTGTGCTCGCTGACTGACAGAAACAACAGACTGTTCGACTTCACACGAGCCATTTTCAGACCAGTGACAACTGACAGACAGCCAACTGAGAGCTGATTGCTGGCAGAAAACACATGCTTTATTTACCAACCAGCAGGGGTCTGCTCAGCACATTTTCAGTGTGATTTGCAACAGTTCGACATCAAAGTTAATTTTATTCTTTTTTATTGGAGCTTTTGATGAAAAGGTTTTACTTCATTCAATTACACAAATATTTATTGAACTAACATGAACACGCAAATTAACTCCAAACGACATTGGGTTTTATGTAAATGATGGTGATTTCCAGTCTGTACCTGGGTCTAATGGTCTTACCTTTGCATAGCGTATCTGCAGTGCACCAGTGTCCAGCTGTTTGATTCTGGAGTCATGTGTGGACACCAGTAAGCCATCCTTTCTCCAGAGAATGGTAGGCGTGGGGTTACTTAAAGCCATGCAACTAAGGACCACAGTTCCATCTACAGCCACCGTCTGATTGGTTGGGCCCTGGCGGATTACTGGTGGCGGTCGGTCTGATACGACTATGGAAAAACGAGAGGTGTGAATGAGTCCATGTGGTTTGACTGAGAACATATGATTTCTACAACTGCATCCAGCTTGTGTGAGAAAACACACAAAAGCCAGTGCAAAGTGGCAATCTGACAAACAACATGTAGCAATGTACGCACGAGTTCTGAGGGAGGAATAGAATCCAATTTTAGGAGCTGGAAACAATTTTCTAATCATTTAGCAGCAGGAGTCAAACTCAGCCAAATAAAAGCAGTGTAATTAAAATGAAATGGCCTCAGAAACATCAGTCTTTTGCTGCAGCTCTACCAGATGCCTGGCACTAAGCATCTGAATGCTTGTGGCCAACAATCCCGTGACCCATCCCCCAATCCATAAACACAAAATAAAGAGGAAAATGCTCAGGAAACGTTGAGCCAGAAGAGACAATGTTCTGCATAAGTTTACTTCTTTTCACTCCTTTGCAGCTTTTGATTCATGAATCAATACGAAAACAACAGCAGGACACAGAAAAAAAGCGTATTCCTCACTGAGAAAGACTGTATTGAAAAGACAGTGCTCCGGTGATGTGTTTCCTTTTTGAATTTTGTTCTTTGCCATCTGCCTGACACACTCAGTAGGATTAGTAGCCATATTAAGAACATTGCTGTCATCTTTGTTGATTGCCTGGAAAGTTACAGTCGCTGAGGAGCCATGTCATTAATATGTAATATGGCATAAAGGAACCCTATAATGATGCTGCTATATGAACAGGAATCCTCAGAGCCTGGGCCGCTGTGTCGCTCGGTCGCTTTGTCTTTGCTTTTGTGCACGGGATGATGCAATTACTAAAACATTGTCAGCATGACCTGTAATTACTTGATCTGCCTGTGGAGAAGTGGTGGCCTCAGAGCAGCCCGATTACTATAATAACTGTTATTATTATCCAGAGAGTACGACAGAAGGAGAAAGAGAGCAGGAAAGAGAGACGGAACATACCAGCGTGATGTATGAAATGAAGAAGAACGTTCGGTAAATGAAGGGATGAATGTAGGTGTGTCATAGACAAAGTAATAGCTGCCCGGACCTCAGTGGGATTGATGGAAATGAAACCAAGGTTAGTCCGCCACGGTTAACAGGGATTGGCTAGCGGAGTAATAAGAGGACTCAATCCAGACCTAACCACACAGCCACAGTCTTCCAACGGTAGACTACAGCAAGTCAGCCATGGAATACCAAAGGAAACATTAACCAGTGTGAGGCTCGCGTAGCCAAATACGGAGCCATGGTCTGGGTACACAGGCACCAGTGAGTCTCTACCTCTAACAGGAACCCATACTACAGGCCAGACCAAACCTCACTAACCTCAATTCAGATATTAATATGCTGCACAGTATGCTTATATTATTACAGAAGAAGAGTTTTATCGTCAACAGTTAAAGGTTGAACAGCAATCAGCTACTAAGTGTACTATTAAATTCCTTCTCTGAGAATTGACTGTGTAGAAACTGTGTGTTAACAAGCCGTACTTACCATCAGTGACCTCTAGCAGAGCCTTGGTGATGACACTGCCAGCAATGTTGAGGGCCTGGCAGCTGTAATAACCCATGTCTGAGCGTTCAGCGTCTGTGATGGTCAGGTCCCCCGTCTGTGATACGGAAAATCTACTTGACGGTTGAGGGGGCTGGGACGAGAAGAGCAGGTTCTGCAAAGATACATTTAAACTTCAGTTTCGGTTGGAAAACACTAACTGTTTATAATAAAACTCGGCCAAAAATGCAAACTATTTCCGATTTTCAGTGAACTGTTGCAACAAAGTCCAAAGCCGCTGGGTATGCTAGAATGCTTTCCAAGAGGCTAAACAGTGTTTTGGAGTAGAACATTTATCATGGTTTATTTTGTTTACCTGACTGCCTTCCTGCTGCCAGAAAATGGCTGGCTGTGGGTTTCCAGTGGCCTCACATTGGAAAGTGACAGTTCTGCCAACCCCAACCACCTGGTTCCTTGGTCTTACCACAAACGCGGGGGGAACTAGAGAACAGCCACGACAATGGTTAGCCATTGAATAGACAAACATGACATACTCTATTATTATGCTGTCATAATAACACTGCTACAAGTGGTCTTCTGACTCTAGGACAAAGGACATTTGACTGGGGCTTTGATGTGTGCAGCTTAATCTATTTAGTTGTTATGCATTCAGGGTCTGTTTTTTTTTAACTAAAATTGAGAGTGCACAGCGAATTAAATGGCACTCATTAAATTCAAAACACTGGCAAATAATAGGTGTAATGACAAAAAAAACACGAGGGTTGCTTAATGTACCCATTCCCTCGCTTATTTGCATGGGCGAGGGCTCGCCTAAAATTTACATGGAAATGGAGAATAAATTTGAGCCATCTGTCCATGCTGACACCTTCCAATAGCACGGGCCCAATCCAGGTTGCAGTATCCATCTTAATGAAAAACCCTGTCTATGTCTAAATGGGGTGTCATAGCCCAATGTCACCCATGGACCTCTGGAGTAGCAGCGAGGCCTTGCTGGTCAGGTATAAAGAGAGCAGTACCCTGAATAAAGAGAGCATGAGGCGGGCTGTTTTACATTGTGAATTCAGGAGAACTGTGGATAATAGGGCTTCAAATGCATTAAATCTCTGTAAATTTCCATTCCTTTTATAGGGGCCATGCTGAACATAAATAAAGCAATCTAAAGCTGCCATTTGAAATACAGACATAATTCGTCCACAAATGAGATGGGGTTTTGGTAATGCATAAAAGGGGGAAGTAATAGAATGAAATGATGCAGCTTTACCTTGGAGGCTCAAGCTGAGCATATTTTTACCCATTAATGTCCCTTTGTCACTGTTGCCCGTGACAACAGAAACATGAGTGCTGATTGGAGGGTGGAGAGGTGATGGGAGGAGGATGAAGGGGGGTTGTGACAGCTTCCTGTCTCTGTCAGGGCGGTGAATAGGTGACGGGTGACATTTCAACTTACCAGACATGACTAAAAAGGAAACAAAAAACAGAACAACAAAAACCCAAAGATGAATAGCCAAATAATAAACAGCATGACAGTGAACAGAGATAGTGAACATAACAATGTGGTATGTGAGAGTACAATTCATGTTATTATTATTCAGTGAATAAAAGACATGTCATGTTTTATCCTCCACTCGAACCCTAGGGACCACATGATGAGCAGAGCACAGTCATTACCATAAGTCACCAGAAATGCATTAGAAATGCTGAGACAAGAAGAGTACTGAGAAACATCTGATTTAATACACTTTCTTGACATGGGATATGCACTAAGACATAAATAATTAAATGAAGAAAAATTAAAAAAAGACACATTTTCACAAAGACACAATACTGTGGGACAGAGGACAGATGTTAGACGCCCAGCACCATTTGTGCAGTGTTTGCTTTTCTTCCCGTTTTTTCCAGGTGTTCTGAGAAGGTAAATGCCCTGTTGCTTTTCATAAAGTTAAAAACTCCCTGAGGAGCTGCTGGATCACAGTCCCTCAAACACAAATGCACACACGGTCCATAAAAACATAAGGTGAACGTTAACTGTCACTCTCTTGCCATAAATCTCCTTTGGCCAATCACTCACCTTATCTAATCTGCCTGTTTCTACGGCTCCCTCGGAAACATAAACTCTGTCAGTCAGAGTAATGACCAGCGCCCCCTCTCCTCCCCCCTGCATATTGCTGGCCTTTAAAATGCAGATAAGACGCACATCAAACACTCTCAGAAGAAGACTGCGTTATCCATGGGTGAGTTATACACAATGGTGAGAACGGACACATCTACAAATACACAAGACTTCCAAGAACACATACACCCACTCATGTGTGTCTAAGCCTTTAATTAGGTAACTTTACCTCTCCACGCTACTGTGATCACAGTTTTGGAGCCAGAGTGATAAATAAACGGTAAATCTGACCTGGCTACTTTGTTGTGAGCTCTTTTGCCGGCTTATAGCACATAGTGGAGTGAAATCATCCAAACAGATGCATATCACGGTAGGTATTGTGGCCTCCAGGCCAATAGGTGGCAGTGTATATAAAAGGCAGCAAAATAGTCATACAGATTATATATATATATATATTAAAAAACTAAATAAAAGCTATGTAAATTGGGAGGAAAATGGGGCTAACCATTTTCTTTCTGAAGTATGAGGCAAATATTGTTAGTTATGACTGTGAGTGTACATGAAAACACATAAAAGTAATGCACTCATCCACCATCCTATTAGACAATGCAGCTGTTAATTCAAAAATATACTCAATATGCCATTACTCTTCATCCGATTCTCAACAACAGGGGTCACCAACTGTATGTGTTGAATGGCCAGACATTTTTCTGGACATATTGGTGGCCACCCATTAAAAAAAAATTATACAAATTTTTTTTTTTTTTTTCAAATAGAGTCATACATGATGGCGATTACTGATTTAAGTCCCAGTTGTTTTTTTAGTTGCTTTAATGTTTTAGTGGAGATCACTCACTATTTTCTCTTTGATCCTCACAAATTTTGGAATGCAGTCGTGGGCCGGATTAGACCGTTCTGTGGGCCGGATTTGGCCCGCGTGCTGTCAGTTGATAGTCACTGCTCTAAAGCTATCAGAGAACTCCTAGTGTGCCTGAGCTTGCAGCTACATCCTGCAGTGGAGGTAGCTCCATCCA